CAGTTTGAGACACCTGATTACTGTGCTAACTGTGGGGGTAACTTTAATATTGATCTGTTCCAATGTGGGGCTAGAGACTCACTGAAGCTCACATTGTCACTCCCCTGAGTGTAACCACTTGTATCTGGTTTTCCTCCCAGACCTCCTGACAGTGAGTGAAACAGCCAATGAACCTCCACAGGAAGAGGGCAACTCCTTTAATTCTCCGCGCAACCTTGCCATGGAAGCTACCTACATCAACCATAACTTCTCCCAGCAGTGTCTGAGGATGGTAAGGTTGAGCAGTGCTGGGTATTAGGGTCGAGGTGGGATTACTTCTGGTGAGCAGTGTGACTTTGCCGTAGAAGGATTTTTGTCTTTATTCCACAAAGAAGAAATCGCACTCCCACTGGTGAAGCAGGCAGGCTTCTGAGTACACTTAGTGAAGCTGAAGTGCCAGCAGATACAAAGATACAGCTTCTCATCAGCTGTCTTAATATTTTAGTGTTTTTCTATATAAGGGAAATACTATTGTTGCTACTGTTGCTGTAAGAGAATATTTATCCAGCAGGGGAGACCTTCTTCAGTTTTCTTTTCCTAACCCACCCTTCTGTTTTCTTCTGCAGGGAAAGGAGAAATACAAGTTTCCCAACCCAAACCCCTTTGTGGAGGATGACATGGATAAAAACGAAGTAGCTTCTGTTGCATACAGGTGTGTTAATCTCTCTCTGATGCCCGGGTTTGGCAAGGGGGCAGGATGTCACTGTGATATGGAGGCAAAATGTGTCAGGAGTGTTACTGATGGAAGCTTTATCATGAGGGGGATTTCTGGACGTCCTCACAGCCAACAGATAGAGGAAAGGATTTTGTTGAGTGCTTGTTTGGATCTGGAAGAGAGCAAGGGTCCGAAATAACCAGCTGGGTTGTTTCTTGGCAGATACCGAAGGTGGAAGCTGGGAGATGATATAGATCTCATTGTCCGCTGTGAACATGATGGTGTGATGACAGGAGCAAACGGAGAAGTGTCTTTCATCAACATCAAAACGCTGAACGAGTGGGATTCCAGGGTGAGGAAGAATGAGATCCCAAAGCTAGCTCTAACTGCTTCACTGCTGCCTGACACGCCAGGTACAGCAGGCAAGATGTGACAAGCATCTGGCGGTGTCCCCTGGGTGGTTACGTTCCACCAAAGGCCCATAGCTTTGGTGGACAAGCAGTGCTGATGGGATTCTCCCCCAGATGTGAGGTAGCTGGTTTGAACCCTCTTGTCCCCAGGTGTTTGGCACAGTAGCCAGTCTGTTCCCTTGCTTCCCTTGGGGATGCTTCCCTTGCAAACTTCCCTTCCTAACCTGTGCTACAAATGTTGGCCAATCCCTGCTGTTCACTTTCCTCCCTTTTCGGTGTGAGGGCTTTCCCCTGTAGGCTGTTGTTTGCGTTCCCTCATGGTATCGTTAAGGTAGACAGAAGAAACTTCCCTACGTGTTGTCAGGATGGCTGAAGAGAGGGCTGCTGCTGGCTCATTAGATTGACCCTAGTTGTGATTCTCCTCTCAGTATTGCAACGGCGTAGACTGGCGCCAGAAGCTCGACTCGCAGAGGGGAGCCGTGATTGCCACAGAGCTGAAAAACAACAGCTACAAATTAGCCCGCTGGACGTGTTGCGCACTGCTGGCTGGATCAGAATATCTTAAACTCGGGTAAGATGGGGTTTTCACACCAAATGCCTCGCAGGTGGTGTGAATTAACCCAGTGTATGTCAATGCAGAATGAGTAATCATAAAATTGCCCTGCATTTTGAGTGACCAAGAGGGGAAAGCTTGTGGTGAGTGCACCAGCCTTGGCCTGAACTGCCTCCCCTCAGCTTCCGGCTGATGTGTGACTGACCCTGTGAGACCTCACGTGCATGACAGGCAGGCGGCCTCTGCGGCTCTCGGCCTGTTTGCCAAGATTACCAAAAAGGGAAATGCAGCGACCATGCTACCAGTCAGGAATTGGGCTGAGATTCTCAGTGCCCCGGTAATGAGAAATTGGGTGTGGGGAGGTGGGTATTGCCACAGCCCATTGCAAACTGTCAGTTTAAAATCAGTTGAGTCTGTGCCCCGCGGCTTCCAGGCATCCAGTTTCCCAGGCACCCTGGTCAGACTGCTTTTCCTGTCATTCCTTTGCACAGCACCAGCACAGAGCTGGTGGGTCCCCTAGCTGGGACCTCCGCTGGCAGCTTTCACAGCAGATGATATGGTTGATTATATATAAATATATATATAATTTTATGTATTTATATACAAAATATATATACGTCTTGCTGTGGATAATGAACAAGAGGCGTTTGCTAACTCGGTTCTGCTGGTTCTGCAATGCTGGGTTCCGTCCTCGGATGTGGGACCAAGGCATTCGCATCTGGTTTAAGTCCAGCCTCCCTGGTGATGATGCTGTTGCTTAATTTTTATTTGTGGGACCGATTCTTCTCTGTCTTTCGTACCATCCCATCTGATGTGGGGTAGTGGTATGTTGCTGGTTGACAGCTCATAGCCAGGAGATCCTCTTAGCTTTCAGTGTTGGAGTATTAGGATTTTTCAGCCCAGAGAACAAAACCAAACTGGTCGTGGTGCTTTTCTTGGTGTCATTCTGCTGCTTGGGCTTAATCTCCTGATACCCCTCCGGTTTCTTCTTGCCCCCTGGCCAGGTACGTATCCCGTTACCACGTGAAGGACTCTGCCCGCCACGTGATCCTGGGCACGCAGCAGTTCAAGCCAAATGAGTTTGCCAGCCAGATCAACCTGAGCATAGAGAACGCCTGGGGCATCCTGCGGTGCGTCATCGACATCTGCATGAAGCTGGATGAGGGGAAGTACCTCATCCTCAAAGACCCCAACAAGCAGGTGATCCGGATCTACAGCTTGCCTGATGGCACCTTCAGCTCTGATGAAGATGAGGAGGATGAGGAGGAAGAAGAGGAAGAGGAAGGTTCGTAGCATAGCTTGGTGATTTATGCTTTGAAGTGATCCCCTGGTTTGGATGAAAAGGGGTGACCTCTGATAAAGACCAGATCTAAAGGTGCAGTGATGTGAGAGGAGCAAGGCTGGAGAATGGTCCCAAGGATGGGACTCGGCGGTGGAAAAGGTGTGCGTGAGTGGCACTGGGAAGTACTCAACTGGAAGCAAAAAGAGCTGAGAGTTGGAAATGCAGGTGGCGTGCCCCTGTGCAGGCACCACGTGAGGACTGATCCTGGCCTGGGGGGGACGGGGAAGACCCAGGTCCAGAGCACCCCGTGGGGAAGCAGAGCTTGCCAGGGAGCCCTTTGTGCAGCAGCCCCAGGACCTGGGCCAGGGGGGTGTGCCGATTTCTTTTGGCACTGGGATTTTTTTTTTTTCACTAGGGTTTTAGAAATGGGAACCACTTTAAGAGGACACGTTTAAAACGTGCGGTGACCCAGCCCCATGGGGGTAACTTAGTGAAGGCTTTTTATAAAGCAAACATTGAAGCTGAGCAGTAGCTGGCGGGGTCAGTCTGGAACTTTTGGAGGAGCAGTGGTGCCACAGTGACGACTGATGTCTTGGCTTTGCTGCCTAAAACCATCTGTGATCCCCAAAGCGTGCTCTGTCAACAACGGGGAGAACCATTTGACCCACAACTCTTGCTTCTGTGATCTGAAAAATACCTTCCAGCAGGGTTTTTTTCTGTAAACTTAGCGTGGCTCCTCTGTTTCTTACTATGGAAATCTTATGTCCCTGTGTTACTTGCTCAGGAAGGTAAAGTGTGTAAT